AGGTGTGTGAATTTTTTCTTAATGAGAATGTGAGGCAATGTGGTATATAGGGTAGAAAAATCAAAACTTTGAACAGATTCAAAATCACCAACACAGTATGTTAGTGACCTTATACGATATATATGGGGTCAGTAAATTCCATATGGGGTTCGAGCTTCGCTAGCACACTATGTAACTATAATAATAATATAATATCTGTTAGTGAAATCGCCATCATATACGAGAAAATGCTCTAGCACACCAAAACAATTGAGATGCATAAACGCCAGATGGTATATATATATGTTGAATCTTAAGAATGGGAAGATGACAACAGTGTTATTTACTTCTGTTTGTTTATCTTCGCTGTAGGTTTAGACGTAGATAAAAAAAAATCGTGTGTTTCAAAGTACTAAGGATATTGTCGGCTATATTCTGTAGATTGTAATCGGTGTACCATAAATTGCGATAGTTGAAGTAAGTGACAAACGAATGCACCGGGTTATTTGGTAAAGATTTCATTTTTGTATATTGTTAGATTTTACAAACTAAATAAAAAAAAGAATATCTCCCATATTTGCATTTTGTTGTAACGATGAAATATACAGTAGTCTTTGAGAAAAATCAAGTACAATATCAGACATTCGTTTACACCAAACAATAATTTACACAGTACAATATCAGACATTCGTTTATATCAAAACAAATAGGTTCACAGTACAATATCAGACATTCGTTTAGACCAAAACAATAAGGTACACAGTACAATATCAGACATTCGTTTAGACCAAAATAATAAGGTACACAGTACAATATCAGACATTCGTTTAGACCAAAACAATAAGGTACACAGTACAATATCAGACATTCGTTTAGACCAAAACAATAAGGTACACAGTACAATATCAAACATTCGTTTTGACCAAAACAATAAGGTACACAGTACAATATCAGACATTCGTTTAGACCAAAACAATAAGGTACACAGTACAATATTAGACATTCGTTTAGACCAAAATAATAAGGTACACAGTACAATATCAGACATTCGTTTAGACCAAAACAATAAGGTACACAGTACAATATCAGACATTCGTTTAGACCAAAACAATAAGGTACACAGTACAATATCAAACATTCGTTTTGACCAAAACAATAAGGTACACAGTACAATATCAGACATTCGTTAAGACCAAAACAATAAGGTACACAGTACAATATTAGACATTCGTTTAGACCAAAATAATAAGGTACACAGTACAATATCAGACATTCGTTTAGACCAAAACAATAAGGTACACAGTACAATATCAGACATTCGTTTAGACCAAAACAATAAGGTACACAGTACAATATCAAACATTCGTTTTGACCAAAACAATAAGGTACACAGTACAATATCAAACATTCGTTTTGACCAAAACAATAAGGTACACAGTTACTGTACAATATCAAACATTCGTTTAGACCAAAACAGTAAGATACACAATACAAACATTTTGAAAATGCATACTGAATTACGGAATGATCATGTATGTTAACGATTGCTTATATTTTGCTTTTAAAAATAGACTGATTTATGCAGTAGTAAGTATAAAGAAAAGTGGTAAATGTCACTAATGTAATAATTTGATGACGTGTACAAAAATATACTATTCGAAAATGGTTGGCTAGAATTGTTCACACACAATTCCAGTCGTTAATTGAATAAGAATCCTTCGGTTTGATTGTGCAATACTTTTGACTTACTTTTACGGCTTGCAAAAATACGGGTATCATATATGTAAACGGGAAAAACTCAACTTATACGATACAATCTAAATTAATTCGCAGGTAAATCTTATTATCATGTGAAGTTACAATATATATATCAAAAAGTAAAATAATAAAATACCGAACTCCAAGGAAAATTCAAATCTGAAAGTCCCTTGTCACATGGCAAAATCAAAAGCTCAAACACATCAAACGAATGGAAAACAACTGTCATGTTCCTGACTTGGTAAAGGCATTTCATTATGAAGAAAATGATGGATTAAACCTGGTTTTATAGCTAGCTAAACCTATCACTTGTATGACAGTCGCATACAATATAGCAAGAAAAAGTTTTCTTACTGCAAAAAAACCATGCATACTTATGTGGCTTAGGATTAGAAAATTATTCATATTTCATTTATTTCTTGTAATTTTTCGACACCGCTTTCGATTTTACATTATGATAATAACAGATGGAAACTAATTTTGTTTTTGTTTAGACAATTCAGGTGAGCTATAGAGAGTGGCTGAAGATATAGTTACATGTAAATCATAAATCTGACTTATATGTTTCTTACGAAAAAAGAAGACATGATAAGAAAATCTTCACTTTCCAAAGGCTATAGAAAGGAATATATGGGCTGAAAGTATGCATGCATATATGACCGTGACCTTCTTCCTTGAACACCGTGATACGTCAGATTCAAATGCACTTTCAATTCATCAACGTAGAGATGCAATGTTTATCATTACCGACTAATTTAATGACTACATGTATGAGGGTCTGGATGGGGTTTACAGAATAGAAAATAATGGACAAAATGGGCAGAATAAAGGGCTCAAAATTTAAAGAATAGAGAAAAATAGGCCAAAAAAATATAGAATAGAGAATAATGGGGTGCTAAAATATAAAGAATAGAGAATAATGAGCAAAATTTATAATGAATAGAAAAAAATGCTTAAAAAATTAAAGAATACATAATTGAAGGCCCCCCTATTCAGACCCTCATGTATGAGTGGGAGAATTTGAAAATGAAAGAGGAAAATATGAGAAATGCACACAAAATCTTATAAAAATCATAACTTTGCATTTTACTAACTGTAAACGTAAAATTGTATTCTAAAACAACTCGCAGACATCCGAAATGACGTAAGCTTTATTGAATGATGACGATCGATGAAACAGAAATTTATGAAAATCAGGTTCAGTAAGTAAAGTAAAAGTAAAGTAATCTTTGCACAAGGCCATGTTTTTCTCTGACTTTTTTATTACTGTTTATGACTTCTTTACACTAAATCCATTGGAAGTTGGATGTGTACTGATTGATAATTTAGTCTTAGATGCATGATTTTTTATATTAGTTGTTATTGGCTTTTAACTAGCTGTCAGTAACTGCGAGTACGCTCAGATCTGTACTAAGTGTCTTTTTGTTGTTGGGATGTACAGGTACCCGGTCACGTCCACCTGTTTTTGTTATATGTATTTCTATTTGTATCCATCTGATGAGTTAAGCCTTTTTCACTGATTTTTATAGTTCGTTTTTATGTTGTACTGTTACACCACTGTCCCAGGTTAGGGGGAGGGTTGGGATCCCGCTAACATGTTTAACCCCGCCACACTCTGTATGTATGTGCCTGTCCCAAGTCAGAAGCCTGTAATTCAGTGCTTGTCGTTTGTTGCTGTGTTACATATTTGTTTTTCGTTCATTTTTTTGTACATTAATTAGGCCGTTAGTTTTCTCGTTTGAATTGTTTGACATTTGTGATTTCGGGGCCTTTTATAGCTGACTATGCGGTATGGGCTTTGCTCATAGTTGAAAGCCATACGGTGACCTATAGCTGTTAATTTCTGTGTCATTTGGTCTCTTGCGGAGAGTTGTCTCATTGGCAATCATACCACACCTTCTTTTTGTTATTTATTTAAAGTCGCCGGGTTTTCATAAAAACAAATTAGTATAAAACATGAGCTCTTTAGATTTCTTTTAACGACTGGTATACAATAACCTAATATAATCAATTATTGAACATCAACAAATACATATACAGCACATATAATCAATACAAGCAGCACATATCAGTAAATACAAAGCACATGCAACATGAAAAGCAGACTAAGTCAGACTAAAAACATTACTTTTTTAGCTCACAGGGGCCCGAAGGGCCCCATGTGAGCTGATGCCATCACTTGGCGTCCGTCGTCGTCCGTCGTCTGTCGTCGTCGTCTGTCGTCGTCGTCGTCTGTCGTCGTAAACTATTTCAAAAATCTTTTGATCCATCGACAAACATGGCCGCCATGGCTAAAAATAGAACATAGGGGTCAAATGCAGTTTTTGGCTTATATCTCAAAAACTAAAGCTTTTAGAGCAAATCTGAAATCGGGTAAAATTGTTCAATTGGTCAAGATCTATCAGCTCTGAAATTTTCAGACGAATCGAACAACCCATTGTTGAGTTGCTGCCACCGAATTGGTAGTTTTAACAAAATTTTGCAGTTTTTTGTTATTATTTTGAATATTATTATAGATATATATAAACTGTAAGCAGCAATAATATTCAGCAAAGTAAGATCTACAAAAAAGTTAATATGACGATAATTGTCAATTGGCCCCTTAAGGAGTTATTGCCATTTAAAGACAATTTTACACAATTTGTTCATCAAGTTTGCTAACATTTAAAAATCTTCTCCTCTGAAATACAGGTGAGCGATTCAGGGTCTTGAGAGCCTCGTGTTCTTAATTATAACACTGGACTTTACACACAAACATGGAAGTTACAAATATGGGAGAATCTTTAAGTTACACAAATCTCCCACAAAGCCCATTTGCTGCTCCTTGACCTTTAGCTTAATATAAATTATATTTGCCAATGTCAATCTCATATTTAACGGTCATAAATACCAGTTTTCCTGTCCAGCTAATTCGTCGGCAGAGATTTACTTTGCGTCTGTCAAATTATGTATTAATATCGACAAGTATTGAATTACAATGAAAATTTTAAAGTTAAAAAAATTAATGTTTGCTAAAAATATCACATTATGGTTTTAATGCGCCTCTGCAGAGTTTTGGTATCGAGCGTACATGATGAACGTGAAGTGCGCAATGAACTCGGTTTTCATACGTTTAGTATATTAGATTATATATGCATTTTTGTATGCGAGGACAGTTATGTTCTCAATTAATATTTTGTTCTTTTCTTTTTTTACACATAATGCCCAAGGTGAGATTTTCCCCCAATTTAAACTCCAACATTTTGAGACGGTCCCTAGGCAGAATGTAGGTAAAGGTAGAATTATACAAAGGGAAACAATCCATGGGGATATGAGGATTTATTCAATAATCATGGAAAACATCGAAACAATTCAGAAATGTGTATTTGATCATAAAATTGCCTTGTTTACTATCATCATAAGTAAGTATAGTAACTATAGTTTATTTCAGTATTTTTTAATTTTGATTCTGAAGTCGTTTAAAAGTTCCAATTCTTGAACTTATTGTCACGTGTGTGGTTGTTGATAACGTTGATGTATCTAAAACCTTAAGTGCTGAGTCTATAATGAATTTAATATTCCCCAGAACTTTGAAAGTTGTACCTAAATTAAGCAATATGACCTTAAAATAATAATTATTATGATTTTATCAGTCGTTACGAAGCCTATAAAACCAATATTGATTTGCCGAGTCATTGGGATTTGCAGGTGGCCTAAAAGTATTTCCTTTCTATGCAAAAAATGTTCTGGTAAAAAACAACGGTGAATAAAATAAAATATCAGTATTGATAAAAGTTTGGGGACGCCATGGTGATCTGGTCAATCGTTATGTATGGAACGCCACAGCTGTCCTATGTGGTATCTGACATTTCGTTATGTGGTATAATTATTGCTTGGTGATAGTTTGTTTTTACAAAATATGGTTTTGACATTACATAATGATGTTTTGATATTAATTAGTATGGGTTTGTCATTACTTAATAGGGTTCTAATATACATTATTTTTTAGGGGCCATCTGAAGCCCGCCTCTGGGTGCGGGATTTTCTCGCTGTGTTGAACTTCAACTAGAAGACCAATATTGGTGGCCTTTGGCTGTTTTCTGCTCTTTAGTGGGGTTGTTGTTTCTTTGACACAATCCCCGTTTCCATTCTCAATTTTATTTTTTCATTACTCGATGTGGTCTCACTATTATTCAATGTAGTTGTGTCATGAGTTAATGTGGTTTTAAGATTTAATACTTGATGTGTATGTGGATAACGTCATTACATGATGTGGTTTTGTTATTAGGTAATAATGATTTGTTAGTTCTTGATATGACTTTAACATTACATAACATAATGATATTTCAAAATTTGACGATTTCACACTACATGATGTGTTCGTTCCAGTATTTGATGTGGTCCTGTCATTCTTTGATGAGGTTATCACATTACTTGATGAGGCAAAACCACGTGACCATTTTGGAAAAAAAATAGTTTTTTAATGTGCTTAGGATGAGTGTCGCAATCCATTGAGTTAAAGTTCACATTAAAGTACGAGTTGTTGTTCGGAGTTATTTGGTATGAAAAGGGGGAACGGCAGACAAAAATAAGAAAAAAAGTAACAAAAGAATAACAATATTTCGGACATAAGGGGGATATCTCCTAACCACTTGGTCCGGCCGGTTTTTTTTTTCCAAAGCTCTCAAATAAAAGCAGTATTATAATAAATTCGTGAAGGATTCCACGGAACCTTGTGTCTCGCCTGAGATTGCTGCTGCCAGTGTAAAAGTGTAATGTTGATTGTAAAAAGTCCATTTATCGGTAAACAAAAAAATAATGAAAAAACAAGTTTCTGTAGGTGTTTATCTTGATCTTGAAGATTAACTCCCATACAAGTTTTAAAACAGTCTATGGAGGTTTACAAATTTATCATGAAAAAACAGATTAATTCTGTAAAATTTACTGCAAAAAAAAAACTTGTACAAAATTAAGAAGATGTGGTATAATTGCCAATGAGACAACTCTCCTACACATACCAAATGACGTAGAGGTTAAACTATATGTCACTGTATGATCTTCAACAATGAGCAAAACCTATACCGCATAGTAAGCTACAAAAGGTCTCGAAATGACAAATGTAAAACAATTCAAACGAGAAACCTAACGATCTAAATGATGAATACACCGACGCCACTACCGACGACGGAATATAGATTTGATGTCTCACTTCCGCGACATTAATGTCGCAGGCTCGACACAAATCAAATGACTTGTACTTTATTGTCGGATGAGGCACTTTAAATCAACTCACACTAAAGTTACAGGGAAACGGGGGATCGAACTAAGCGACAAAGCATCAATTCTATAAAATAAGAATTCTCCAGTTTTTTTTAATCGTGTGTGATCATTTGAACATATACGAATATCAATCCTTTATTTTTATAAATTGCGTTCTCTGATATACCTCGCACTAAATTGATTTTTTTTTTCGGAATATCTGTTTTACAGGTGACGACGGATATGTTCCAATTGTCGTAACCACAATCCTGTCCTTGTTTTCCTCGAATGTGACCTACCGAATTAGACCAAATCACTGGGTTTGTACTTACAGGAATGACACGACGGGTGCCACACGTTGAGCAGGATCTGCTTACCGGTACCCTTCTGGAGCACCTGAGATCACCCTCAGATTTTCCCGATCGATTGAGTTAAGCCAATTGCAACTGATGTTTACAGTTTTTTTCTTATGTTGTGCTGTAATACTACTGTCCAAGGTTAGATTTAGGGTTGAGCGCTCACAGACCTGCTTAACTCCGCCACATTTTTTATGTGCTTGTCCAAAGTCAAGAGCCTGTAGTTCAATGGTTGTCGTTGGTTCATGTGTGTCATATTTGTTTTTCGTAAATTGTTTTGTTATAAATTAGTCCGTTAGTTTTCTCGTTTGCATTGTTTCGGTGTGTTGAAGTCCATACGGTTGACCATAATTGCTTACATCCACTGTATTTGAACTCTGGTGGATAGTTGTCTCATTGGCAATCACACCATATCTCCTAACTTTATTTAGATTTCTATGTTTTGTTTTGTATACTGTTAACATTATTTATCTTTTGTGCGCATGCTCCTAAGCCCTCTTTCGGAAGCCCGAGCAAAAGCCTTTGATCCGCGATAGAAAATTTAAATACGAACTCATATTTGGTCACGCGAATTTCAACTCGAAATCTTAATCCAAATGAGACTCAAATTCGAAATCTAACTTGAACTCGACCTCAAAAGGTGACTCAAATTCAAAGTTGAAGTAGAATTGTAACTCGAAGTCTACCTTTAAATTGACTCAAACTCGAAATTCAACTCGAAACTCAATGCTAACTCGAACTTTAATTCTAAATATGACTTGAATTCTAACTTGAAATCGAAGACTAACTCGAACTTTAACTCGAACAATAACCCGAACTTTGATTTAAACACTAAGTCGATGGATGGCCACACTCTACCGAGGCACATAAACGACATGGAAATCGGTTTTAAAAGTAGAACTAGTTTTGCCAAATGGTCACGTGGTTTTACCTCATCAAATAATGTGATTACGACAGAACCACATCAATTACTTGAACGAACAAATCATGTAGCGTAAAATCGTCAAATTTTAAACATCATCATGTAATGTTAAAGCCATATAAAGAATTTTCAAATAATCATTACGAAATAACAAAACCACATCATGCGATGAAACAACTACCCACATTCACATCAAGTAATGATAAAACCACATTGCTTAATGACACAAACGCATTAAATATTGGTGAAACCACATTGAGTAATGCCAAAACCATATTAAGTAAAGACAAAACTATACCAAGTCAATACAAAAGCATATATCATGTAATATCGAAATATCATTAAGTAATGACTATTCTATATTGAGTTACACCAAAATATCATTACGCAATGTCAAAACCATATTATGTAAAGACAAAATATCATTAAGTAATAATAAAACCACATAACGTTATGTCAGAGTACCACATAAGACAGCTGTGGCGTTCCATAGTTATGGAATATCTGTGTCACAGATGATCACGGGTACATGTATACGAATAATTCCCTTCCATGATTTTTTTCTTGACATAAGTTTGTCAACTCACGATTTGTGTAGCGGAAAATGTAGCAGGAACTGCTTGTCCTTCCGGAGTTCATCCCCTAGTATTTTAGTGGAGTTATTTTACTCAATCTATAGTTTCCTGTCAAGACTTAGTGTTTGATAGAATTTTGTTTGACTTTTCGTCGTTTTACTTTTTGGCCTATTTGGTTACTTGTACATGTGTAAGTGTTAATGGCAGTTCTTTCATAGTCTCTGTCTAATTTATTCAGTACCTTTTCTGACCCAGGGCGACCTTCGGCTTTACATGTTCATGGCTATTGTTTAAGAGTGTATGTTGGCCTATATATGTCCATTGTTTTTTGTTGCTTTCTTGTTGTCTCATTTACGTTTATCCTGTTTTTTTTATTCATATTACATTATTCTTTTTTATTTCCTCATTTTCTAAACATACCAAATGGTGCTAAATTCGGGTTATTTCATACTTGCGAGAGAAAAAAATCTTGTGTCAGTCCGTACGTCCCAAAGTTGGTTTCCGTTCTCTTAACTTTAGTTTGCCTCAACCAAATATTATGAAACTTATACATGCTTATTACCACAAAACACAGATCAAGTTTGAATTTTGGAGGCGTCACCTTAGCCGTTCTAGAGTTATGCCCCTTTACAAATGGAAAAATTGCTGAATGTTTCGTTTCCGTTCCCTTACTTTAGTTTGCCTCAACCAAATGTTATGAAACTTATACACAATGCTTATTACTACAAAACTCAGATCAAGTACAAATTTGGGTAGTGTCACTTTTACCTTTCTACAGTTATGTCCCTTTATAACTTTATATGATATGCCAGCGGGGGCATCATCTGTGTCCCATGGACACATTCCCCATTTATTCCTTAATATCTTTATTTATTACTTTTTGATTTACAGTCATAGCTTTATGGGGGCTTAGGAAATATATAAAAGGAGCAATGTATTATGGAAAAAGACGTATTGATGGTAAAACTGTCATAATCACTGGCGGTAATACTGGCATTGGCAAAGAGACGGCAATAGATCTGGCAAAACGAGGTAAAATTAACATTAACAAAAGCTTTCGCATAAAAATAATTATATTTGTCATTGGTGAATTGTTCTGTATTTCAAAGTGATACATATATCCTTACCAATAGAAGTCAAGACTGCAATGCTTAGCCTATGCCTCATGTAGGACAAGACTTATGATACATATCAAACTAGAAAGACGTGAATATATGCAAAAACAGATCAAACTGACATGGTAATGCAAACTTCCATGAAAACCAGTAATGATATTAGGTGTTTTGGGGAAGTTCGTTTTTATACGACCGCAAACAATTTTGCGGTCGTATATTGGTATCACGTCGTCGTCGTCGTCGTCGGCGTCAGAGTCGTCCGAAGACATTTGGTTTCCGGACAATAACTTTATTATAAGTAAATAGAAATCTATGAAATTTAAACACAAGGTTTAAAACTACAAAAGGAAGGTTGTGATTGATTTTGGGGGTTATGGTTCTAACAGTTTAGGAATTAAGGGCCAAAAAGGGGCCCAAATAAGCATTTTTCTAGTTTACAGACAATAACTTGTGGAACAGTGTATGGATCTCTCTGAAATTATACCACAAGTTTCCATACCACAAAGGGGTGGTTAGGATTGGCTTTGGGGGGGTTATGGCTCAAACCGTTTAGGAATTTGGGGCAAAAAAGGGGGAAAACAAGGGTTTCCTTGTTGATGGACAATTACTTAAGTATTGGTCTTTGGAACTCTATGAAATAGATATTGGACCATTAAGCATTATATAAGGGATAGCATTCGATTGATTCATGATATATTACAGTATATAGAAGAGAACAATATTTTTGGATTTTGATTTTGAGAAAGCTTTGATTCTTTATGTTGGGACTTTTTGCTATAACTATTACAATTTTTCATGCTTTTAGTATTACATTTTTTTTCATATGCTGAATCTAACTGTGTATTTGGTTGTTGGGCCCATTTTCTAATTGGTCCAAATTTTGGTCCTAAGGCTATAAAATTTGTTTTGTTTGATTTAATAAACATTAAATAAAATTTAAAAGATAATAATTACAATGTTATATTTGAATTACCTCCCTTACATTGCTTTTAAATTATGTAAAGTTGTCAGCTAGTTCTAGTATGAATTATTTTTTTATCTGTTTCTAGAAACATCAAATACTGTCATGGAAGTATATATAATATAATAATAGTGTACATGTATATCAAAGGGTTCAGTGGAAATAAATTTTCATATTCAGAATTGTTTATTTGTGATCAATATCATTTGTTTGGGTTTTTTTAGCATTAAGAGTTACCTCCCTTACAATGGTTTTGTTATAAAGAAATGTTGCGCAACAGCACAGTGTATTGCACAAAAGCAAGAAATTGAATAAAAATTCAAATCATATAACCAATTCTAAGTTCTTTGACTACAGTTATTCTGTGTCAGAAACCTATTATGTGTCAAATATTTAATTACAATCCAAATTCAGACCTGTATCAAGCGCGAATATTGTGTCTATTTTTGCCCCAACTGTTCAGGGTTGGACCTCTGCGGTCGTATCCAGCTGCGCTTGGCGAAGCAATTTATTCTTGTTTGCATGCACGGCACCTGTTTTGTTGTCCATAAGAGATGCCATGCAATAGGAATATACAGAATTTATTTAAATTTTCGAGCGCGAAAAAAAAATATTGAAAGTAAACTTCTTATACTAAAGCGAGAACAAACTTCTAATTTAAACATACCAACCTATTTTGAATATAACCCTTATTTCCTATAGTCAGCACTTCTTTATATCCCCTGTCAAGGATATAATTTAACTTCACGTAAGATTTACAATATGCATAGTTCTTTTTTACGATTACAACAATTCCCTATCACAAAAATTAAAACAGGTGCCATACATGCAAGCAAATAATACATACTTCCATAAAGCAACAAACATATCACTTATCTGTATTTGGTAAAACTTTTAGGAATTTTGGGTCCTAAGTGCTCTTCAATTTCGTACTTTATTTGGCCTTTGTAACTTTTTGATTCGAGCGTCACTGATGAGTCTTTTGTAGACGAAAAGCGCGTCCGGCGTACAAAATTTCAATCTTAGTATCTATAAGTTTATTTACAACCACTGGGTCGATGCCACTGATGGTGGGGTTTTTCTTCCCGAGGTATCACCAGCCCAGTAGTCAGTACTTCTGCGTTGGCATGAATTATCATTGATACAGTCATGATTATAAATCAACTGTTTACAAAACTTTGGATTTCCGAAATACTAAGAATTTTCTACCCTAGGAATAGATTAACTTAGCTGTATTTGGCAAAAATAGAAGATTTGGATCCTCAATGCTCTTCAACTCCGTACTTTATTTGGCCTTTTTAACTTTTTTGATTCGAGCGTCACTGATAAGTCTTTTGTAGACGAAACGCGCGTTTGGCGTACACAATTTCAATCCTTGCATGTATCTATGATGAGTTTATTCATATTCATATCAGTACTCTTTTGTTACTTTAATTGTAAATTGTTAACACATTCTAGCGCAGAAAATAAAAAAAATAATCGTTAAGACCTTTGTAGCATTTTTTCGGATAGAAATAACTACTAATATTTAAATGCTTTCATAATATTCCTGGTGGTTTTATTTTGTTTAAATCTACCCGAAGTTAACTTCTTCTATATCATTTTTAAATATATATAACTTACCTTTCAGGTGCAAAAGTCATTATCGCTTGTCGCGACATGACAAAGGCAAATTCTGCAGCAGACGATATAAAGCATTTAAGCGGAAGTAAAGAAATATATGTCAGACAACTTGATCTGGCTTCCTTGAAATCTGTCAGAAAGTTTGCTGAGAATATTAAAAAATCGGAGAAAAAAATAGACATCTTAGTTAATAATGCTGGTAAGATGGATCGTTCTTAACAAGAGAAATGCGGAAAAATATATATGAAACAATGTTTAAGCAGGACAGTTACACTTTGTTTTGGTTATATTTTTTAATTTATATACCTTTGTTTAGATTAACAATTAGATTTATTGGTATACTTCTATATATCTAAACAAAGATAAAAGATATTTAAAAAAAATATCATTGTGAAGGCAATTTTTATTTTTACATAGCTGACTAACATTTACATACTCAAAACAGTCATAATTTAAAGTAATTTTGTATAAGAAAAATATGGGAAAACTCAAGATAAGATTACACTTTTCCCCTAAAAGTATAATAAGAATTCAGTTTAAGAAGCCAGTATATTTAAACTGTTAAAATACACTGTAAGTAAAATTGATTTTTATTTTAATTTAAAGTAATTTTGTATAAGAAAGATATGAGAAAACTCAAGATAAGATTACCCTTTTCCCCTAAAAGTATAATAATAATTCAGTGTAAGAAGCCAGTATATTTGAACTGTTGAAATACACTGTTAGTAAAATTGAATTATAATACTGAATTTGTAAATAGGAGTTATGGCATGTCCATATGGGAAGACAGAAGATGGATTTGAGATGCAGTTTGGTGTAAACCACCTCGGACATTTTCTGCTTACAAACCTTTTACTTGATTTGATAAAGAAGTCAGCTCCAAGTCGAATAATAAACGTATCATCAATTGCCCATGTCTTCAGTGAGTATTAAAGAACTATACATCTTAGATTAGAAATTTGTCAATTCAGACACTTGATTTTTTAGAAATCAGCAAAGTAATAAATATGGCAAAAGGAAAAAATGCAGTACAACTTTTTTGGCACCATTTTTTAAAATGTTGTTTTTATACGACCGCAAAAAAATTTTTGTGGTCGTATATTGGTATGACGTTGGCGTCGTCGTCGTCGTCGTCGTCGTCGTCGTCTGGCGTCGTCCGGCGTCGTCCGAAGACACATTGGTTTTCGCACTCTAACTTTAGTTTAAGTAAATGGATCTCTATGAAATTTTACCACAAGGTTCAATACCACAAAAGGAAGGTTGGGATTGATTTTGGGGGTTATGGTACCAACAGTAAAGGAATAAGGGACCAAAAAGGGGCCAAAAATAAGCATTTTTGTAACTTCCAGACATAACTTGTGTGTTAGTGTATGGATCTCTCTGACATTGTACCACAAGGTTCCATATCACAAAAGGAATGCTGGGATTGATTTTGGGGGTGATTGCCTCAAAATTTTAGGAATTAGGGGCCAAAAAAGGGGCAAAAAACAAGCATTTTTCTAGTTTCATGACAATGACTTGTGTGTAAGTGTATGGATCTTTCTGAAATTGTACTACAAGGTTCCATATCACAAAGGGAAAGCTGGAATTGAGTTTGGGGGTAATTGCCGAAACGTTTAGGAATTGGGGGCCAAAAAGGGGCCAAAAATAAGCATTTTTCTAGTTTCCAGACAATAACTTGTGTTCAAGTGTATGGATCTCTCTGAAATTGTACTGCAAGGTACCATACCACAAAGGGAAGGCTGGGATTGATGATGGGGGTAATTGCCTCAATATTTTAGGAATTAGGGGCCAAAAAGGGGCAAAAAACAAGCATTTTTCTAGTTTCAGGACAATAACTTGTGTGTAAGTGTATGGATCTTTCTGAAATTGTACTACAAGGTTCCATATCACAAAGGGAAAGCTGGGTTTGAGTTTGGGGGTAATTGCCCTAAACGTTTAGGAATTTGGGGCCAAAAAGGGGCAAAAAAACACATTTTTCTAGTTTCCAGACAATAACTTGTGTTCAAGTGTATGGATCTGTCTGAAATTGTACTGCAAGGTACCATACCACAAAGGGAAGGCTGGGATTGAGTTTGGGGGTGATGAATCATAAGGGGGTTCAAAAAATTTGGGGGGGGGATTTTATTTTTTTCCTTTTTTTTTTCTTTTAAAATTTTCCATTTTAAGTTGGTTATTTCTGATTGATATTTAAAAGCAAATAATAATGATATTGTAGGAGATACACACCAAACAGGATGTGTAAATTATTATATAATAAGTATTGTGCAATAGCAAGAAATTTTCAATTGCACAGTATTGCACAATAGCAAGAAATCTTCAATTGCACAGTATTGCGCAATAGCAGGAAATCTTCAATTGCACAGTATTGCGCAATAGCTAGAAATATCCAATAGCACAATATTGCGCAATAGCAAGAAATTGTCAATTGTACAGTATTGCGCAATAGCAAGAAATATTTAATTGCACAGTATTGTGCAAAAGAAGATACTTCGTATAAATTGCTTATTTCTTGACCAATTTCAATGGGGTTTTATTCTTGAATTCTTGGGGTTCTTTAATATGCTGAATCTAACCGTGTATTTAGTTTTTGGATTTTGGGCCCCGTTTTTAAATTGGTCCATATTGAGGTCCAAAGGGTCCAAAATTTAAACTTTGTTTGATTTCATCAAAAATTGAATTATTGGGGTTCTTTGATATGCCGAATCTAACCGTGTATTTAGATTCTTAATTTTTGGTTCCGTTTTCAAATTGGTCTACATTAAGGTCCAAAGGGTCCAAAATTAAACTTAGTTTGATTTTAACAAAAATTAAATTCTTAGGGTTCTTTGATATGCTGAATCTAAACATGTATTTAGATTTTTGATTGTGGGCCCAGTTTTCAAGTTGGTCCAAATCGGGGTCCAAAATTAAACTTTGTTTGATTTCAACAAAAATTGAATATATGGGGTTCTTTGATATGCTGAATATAATTTTTGGGCCCCGTTATCAACTTTGTCCACATTGAGGTCAAAAGGGTCCAAAATAAAACTTTGTTTGATTTCATCAAAAATTGAATTCTTGGGGTTCTTTGATATGCTGAATCTAACCATGTATTTAGATTTTGGATATTGGACCATAATAGGTGAATGTCCAATTTAAAATTTTTAAGTTCTTAGACCACATTCATTCTGTGTCAGAAACCTATGCTGTGTCAAATATTTAATCACAATCCAAATGCAAAGCTGTATCAAGCTTGAATGTTGTGTCCATATTTGCCCCAACTGTTCAGGGTTCGACCTCTGCGGTCGTATCAAGCTGCGCCCTGCGGAGCATTTTATTTACTCTTTGGTCGGGTTGTTGTCTCTTTGACACATTCCCCATTTCCATTCTCTATTTCATTATCAACTTCTATCAACAAACAAAATGTGAAGAAAATCAGAGATCGTGTGTGTCGCGACTTGGTTTGTGATAACAGAGAATTGCTATTAATCGTTCAGGTTGATTAACTTGCCTATATTCTTTGTGTAATTGTCAAAGCTGAAGTATCAAGTATAAATGTTCCTGTCCGAATGTACATGATGTCGTTTATCTTCATCTTACTACATGTCTAGTTACACAACAAAGTCCAAAGAAATTATTTAAAGCGCATTTTTCAGACGTTGCTGTGTTGTGAACTTGTGTAATTGGGTTGCTGTTTAAATGGAGTTTACATAATATTTTCTTTTATTCATTTCTGTCGAAATCTACACCTTTTCTTTAATGTACTAGATATCAAATGAATAAGTTGGTAAAACAGTTCCGTCGTTATTCAGTAACTGTTTTGCCATTTAGGAGTTGAAAGATAGTCTGGAATGAGGGTCCTTCATTTCTGTATCTTTAATTTTTAGGACATTTTTTTCTTTCTTTAATTTTTATGCCCTATGCTCATTATTCTCTATTATATTTTAGCACCCTATTATTCTCTATTCATTATTTTTTGCCACTTTGTTCTGTATTTTATCCCATTATTCTCTATTCTGTAAACCATATCTATACCCTCTTGAAACTTGGAACCATCCAATCACACAACTTACCTACAGCATATTCTATTCATGGACATTGTTATATTTACAGCTGGTCCACTTGATTTTGATGACATTGCAAAAAGGGAAAAAAGCTACAGTGAAAGCAGAGCTTATTCTCAGAGCAAACTTTGTAATATATTATTTACAAAAGAATTGGCATCTCGGTTAACAGGTAAGATGAAACAGATATTTCTCTTCACATTGTTCACATATTAAACAATAGAATAAGCGATCACCATCATTGTCATTAAACTTACTGTCGAACTACTTTTGTCTTCGGAAAATGCATGTACAAAGTCAGGAATATGGCAGTTGTTTGTCACTTGTTCCGTTGATTGATAGCGTTTGATTTTGTCAGTTTCTGTGGACTTCCCCTTTTTGAATTTGCCTTGGAGTTAAGTATTTTTGTTATACTTTTTTGAAGTACATTGTATTTCTATATGTTTTAAGCTATGCATTTTCATACTAAAGCTGTACATTTTCACGAGAAACAGAAATTGTATAATATTACACTTGCATTTTCCAACCTATCAAGACCAATTGGTTTGATATGTATGAAGTTTAATGCAAGGTTTTTAATATCAGGTATACAACCATTTATGAGAAAGGTAAGATTAAAACAAGTGGTGTTTTCTTTGCTTCAAAAAAGAGAACAGTCATATTTTTTTCTGTAATTTGGTAGGTTTTTGTCATACTTTTCATCATTTACTTTAAATAATTGATATAAACAAGGGAAATGACGGGAACATTGGATACTCTTTATCAATCTGGTACTGGGGCCTCGGTGGTCGAGTGGTCTAAGTAGTTAGTACTGTAATCACTAGCCAGTCAACACTGAGGTTGTGAGTTCGAACCCCGCTCGTGCGGGTGCACTCGACTACAATCTTAATTGACTAGGATTGTCAGTTTTCCTATCGAAGGTCGGCGGTTTTCTCCGGGCACTCCGGTTTCCTCCACCAATAAAAACTGGCCGCCACGAAATAGCCCAAAAGCGGTGCTTAAAAACACCAAAAATCAAATCAAATCAATCTGGTACTCTGGAAACCATAATAGGAATAAACTTAGGCCACATATATCAGACACAAACCATTATAGACAAGTGTAGTGTTTAAGTTCAGTCCATATATCAGACACATACCCGCAATAGCAAGAGTAGTGTTTAAGTTCAATCCATATATCAGACCGAAACTACCATAGGCAATGGTAATGTTTAAGTTCAGTCCATATATCTGACAAAAACTACTCTAGGAAATTGTAGTGTTTAAGTTCAATCCATATATCAGACAAAAACTACCGTAGGAAAGTGTAGTGTTTAAGTTCAGTCATATATCTGACACAAATTCGCAATGGCAATTGAAGTGTTTAAGTTCAATCCATATATCAGACAGAAGCTACCCTAGCCAAGTGAAGTGTTTAAGTTCAGTCCATATATCAGATACAAACACCCATAGGTGAATCTAGTGTTTAAGTTAAGTCAATTTATCACACCCCTCCTCCCAAATAAGCAAGTGCAGTGTTTACATTCAGTTTATATATCAGACACAAACCTCCATAAACAAATACACAAGAGAATTGTTTAGGTTCAGTCCATATATGAGACAGAAATCCTTATAGCTAGGCAAGTGTAGTGTACAAGTTCAGTCCATATATCAGACACATACCCCCGTAGGTAAGTGTATTGTTTAAGTTCAGTCCATATATGAGACAAAAAACCAAAGGCAAGTGAACTGTTTAAATTCAGTCTATATATCAGACAGAAATCCGCATAGGAAAGTGCAGTGTATTAGTTTAGTCCACATACCAGACACAAAACTCCATAGGGCAAGTTCAGTCCAAATATCTGACCAAAACACCACTAGAACGGTGTAGTGTTTAAGTTCATAAGACCAAAAAAGTGACAAAGTATATTTTAACAAAACGCATTTGACTAGCAGGTCGAACAACGGATGTTCTTAAACCCTGCTGACTGCCATTGGCGATTGTCAAATAAAATGATCACCAGATGTAACAAAATGGATCTTAAATTTTAATTTAATATAAAACAGAAAACAATAAACTTGCGGAAAAGATGGTATACCGCAAACAAAAGGTGCAAAAATTAGTACACCGTATCCGGATTTCGACAATTAATGTATCTCCAATGATGTTAGGAATCGAAACGGTATTTGGAAGGCCATATAATTTACCTCAATTAATATATATCATAAACACACCCCCATAAGCAAGTGTATTGTTTAAGATCAGTCCATAAATCAGACACAAACCTTCATAGACAAGTAAAGTGTTTAAGTTAAGTCCTAATATCAGACACAGATACACATAGGCAAGTGTCATGTTTAAGTTGAGTCCATAAATCAGACACAAACCCCCATAGGCAAGTGTAGTATTTAAGTTAAGTTTTTATATTAGACAGAAATTCCCATAGGCAATTATGATGCTGAAGTTCAGTCCATATAATAGACAGAAACTCTTAGTCAAGTGTTGTGTTTAAGGTCAGTCCATATACATTGTATCAGACACAAACCTGCATAGGCAATTGATGAGAATGGGTTCAAACCATATATTAGATAGAATATTTCCAAAAGGCAATTATTGTATATAAGTTCAGTCTATATAACAACCAGATACTCCCCTAGTCGAGTTTAGTGTTAAGTTTAGTCCATATACATTGCATCAAACGCAAACCTTCATAGGCAATTAAAGTGTTTAAGTTCAGTCCATATATCAGACAGATACCTATAAGGCAAGTGCAGTTTTTAAGTTCAGTCCATATATCAGACAAAACCCCTCATAGGCAAGAGTAGTGTTTAAGTTCAATTCATATACATTGTATCGGACACAAACCCTCACAAGCAAGTGTAGTGTTTAAGTTCAGTCCATAAACATTGAATCAGACACAAACCTGCATACGCAATTGAATAGAAGACCATATATTGGACAGAATTTCTTATGACAATTTAGTGTATACGTTCAGTCTATATATATAACAGATAGAAACCACCTAAGCAAGTGTAGTGTTAAGTTCAGTCCATATATAATACACAAACCCGCAATGGCAAGTGTAGTGATTTAGTTCAGTCTATATTTTTCAGGCACCGGTGTTACGACGTACTCTTTACATCCTGGTTCTATCAATACCGAGCTTGCAAGACACATGAGAGCCAAGGTTAAATTTATTATGGAGGCCTTGTATTTTATTATCACTTTCTTTATCAAGACTCCATATGAGGGAGCACAAACTAATATATATTGTGCTGTAGAAGAATCTCTGGATAACGAAACGGGGAAATATTACTGGTAAGATTTTCTTAACAAACAGTCAGCTTTTGAAATGCATATATAACTATTGCTTTGTATACAATTTCTTTTCCTGTGTAATACTTATCCATCCTCTTTTATATTATCTCCACACTTATAAAGGAATTATAGTCAATTAAAATTCAATTAAAAAAAACACCCATTTTTCATCCTCGTGGTCATTCTCAAGACTAGAAAAAAATTGAACAGTTTGACAAAGAGATACTCATTATTGGGAAAAGTTTCATTTCTCTCGCAATAATATAGAATTATCAATGGGTTGAAATAAAATACTTTAAAGAAGGCAACACCATCCCAAAACAAGTCAAAACATAATTCAATCTGCACAAACTTTTGAAAATTAATATTCAAATTTTAATAGCTAATAACCTATTTGCAAAGAAAATTATACACATACTACACGATATTTTGTTGACTGTTTCAGTGATTGTGCTGAAGCCACGCCTACAAAACCAGCTTTAGACGTCGGTGCTGCTAAGAAACTATGGGAACTATCTGAAAAACTGGTTGAACTTTAACCATACGGCAAAAATATAATCAAATTGAAAGTGTTGAATTCTCAGGTTAATGTGCATATTACTATTAAATGGTTTTGATACGTAAATATGCTATTAGGTAAATACATAATTATGTAATCTAATCTCTTTTGCTGCTGTTTGAATTTCTCCGTTTTTAGAACTGAGTATATATATCGTAAAAGCTACAGATCATAATGTTTGTTACAACATGGTATACTTTAGATCGCATTTATATCTTTAATTTCTTCCGATGTTTACACGAATTATTTAAATATTTGAAGTTCTATAAAGATATTTAAACTTTTCGTCTCGTTGAATTTATATGTGATGTACAAACTTTAAAAGCAAATGGCAAGCGGCCATTTATTGTACAGATTAACAAATAAAATATGTTTACGAACAATTTGTCGGTATCATTTTCTCAGTAGGAAAAAGAAATATGCATTGTTAAATGCAATATCTGTGTACTCATGTGGTCTCGGCAATAAGTGTTGGGTCCAATTTAGATGTAAAATTTAACTTTGCATAATATAGCGTAGCGTGTGAAGCGTGTGTTTAGCATTTCAATATGACAAGAGCATAATATTGCATTACAGTATGGCAAGAGCATAATACTGCATTACAGTATGGCAAAAGAATAATAGTGCATTACACTATGGCAAGTACAAAATACTGCATTAGTATATGGCAAGTACAACATACAGCACGACACTATGTCAAGAACAAAATACAGCCTAACACTATGGCAAGTACAACATACAGCATGACACTATGTCAAGAACAAAATACAGCCTAACACTATGACAAGTACAACATACAGCACGACACTATGTCAAGAACAAAATACAGCCTAACACTATGGCAAGTACAACATACAGCATGACACTATGTCAAGAACAAAATACAGCCTAACACTATGACAAGTACAACATACAGCACGACACTATGAGAAGAACAAAATACAGCATTTCAACATGACAAGTACAAAATACAGCATGGCACTATGACAAGTACAAAATACAGCATGGCACTATGACAAGTACAAAATACAGCATGGCACTATGACAAGTACAACATACAGCATGGCACTATGACAAGTACAAAATACAGCATGGCACTATGACAAGTACAAAATACGGTAACACTATGGCTAGTACAACATATAGCATGACACTATGACAAGTACAAAATAGACCATTACACTATGACAAGTATAAAATACAGCATTAGTATATAGCAAGTACAAAATTCAGCATTACACTATGACAAGTACAAAATACATCATTACAATATGGCAAGTATGATATACATAGTACACTATGGCAAGTACAACATACAGCATTACCCTATGGCAAGTATGAAATGCATATTACACTATGGTAGAAACAAAATGCAGCATTACACTATGGCAAGTACCAAATACAGCATAACAATATGTCAAGCACAAAACACAGCATTACAATTTGAAAAAAAACAATATACAGCATTATACTATTACAGGTACAAAATACAGCATAACACTATGACAAGTACGAAATACAGCATTACACTGTCGTAAGTACAAAATACATCATTACACTGGCAAGTTCAACATACAGCATTACACTATGACAAGTACAAACTACAGCATTACACTATTACAAGTACAAACTACAGCATTACATTATGGCAAGTATACAATACATATTACACTATAACAAGTTCAAAATACAGCATCACAATATGACAATTACAAAATACAGCATTACACTATGGCTAGTACAACATACAGCATTACTCTATGACAAGTACAAACGTTAGCATTACACTATGACAAGTACAAAATACAGCATTACACTATGGCAAGTACAACATTCAGCATATCACTATGGTTAGTACAAAATACATCATTACACTATGGCAAGTACAGCATACAGCATTACACTATGCCAAGTACGACATACAGCATCACACTGTGACAAGTACAAACTTCATCATTACACTATGGAAGTATAACAAACAGCATTACGCTATGGCAAACACAACATACATCATGCCATTATGGCAGTACAAAATACAGCATACCCCTATGGCAAGTACAAAATACTTTATTACAGCATGGTTATTACAAAATAAAGCGTACCAGTAAGGTTAGTTAAAAGTGCATCATTCAATGTAGTTTTATTGGTAAAAACACGTTGCAAAATAATTTTTATGCTCCTTGAAAAAATTCCTGGATCATATAGTAGTCACATTCTCCGTTGCCGTCGGTGTGTCTGAAACAAAAGGTTTCTGAATTTTAAATTGGGTTTTCCTTTTTTGAATGGAAAGCAAATTATACAGAAATAATCCATAGGAAAAGTAGTAGCCTATTGATTTTGGGGTCAATAGATAAAAGTTAAAAGTCGTTGTTTCTAAAAATAGTTTGTTTTGTTTTTGGAAAAATGGTTTCCGATGGTAACTTGAGTTATCCTTTCTTGATTGGCATGAACCATATACAGATGGAAGATAGAGGGAAAGGGCAAGACGCCTATTGATTATGGAATCTATAAGTCAAAGTTGAAGGATATTGTTACAAACTGTTATCTTTATATTTATTATTAAATACATAATTCTTATTATGCATTTGTGCAATTTTTTTTTATTATGCTCCTTACGCAAAAACTGCTCCAAAAGAGAGGCGAAAGATACAGAAGGGATATTTAAACTAATAAGTCGAAAACAAAAACTGACAATGTCATGGCAAAAAAAAAACGAAAAGACAAACAACAGTACACAAAACACAACATAGAAAACTAAAGACTGAGCGATACGAACCCCACCAAAATCAAGGGGTGATCTCCTGCTTCACATTTGACACCCGTCGTGTTATAATTACTCATAAAAATGCGTTAAATATGTGATATCAAGTGATACGACAGCGCACACTATTGCGTATTGGTAACTGACTTTTATTGTATCCTGCGAGATCCCCAACTCGTAAACCATCAGCTTTGTAAATTTTGTAACCCTGAAACTTGACTGAATGTGACAGTTTGAAATAGAAAGACGTTTATCATAACAAAGGATAGACAATACTGTTACCGGTATAAACAACAAATACATTGAAAAATAAAAAAAGAACAAAAAACAACACTTAAAACTGCAGCGAGAGCACAACAGGAATCACTAGGTGCTCCAGACGGGTAAGCAGATTCTGCTCCACATGCCCCAAGAGAGTTATGAGGGAGAACGACTGAAATCGACATTACGTAAGATCACGAACTGGAAGACCGAAACGATATGTCTGTGTCTCAACTCACTTGAGACATGTTTTCACAGTCTTAGATCTTTAGATACTATAAGAGGTCGTCTTATCTATAGTTTCTATGTGTAATTTTACAGATTGTGACATTTTGAGTGCGGATTCGCCTGTCGGGTGGATGCTTACATAATAAGATACGCTTACCCTGTGGACGCAGCCGGTCTTGCTCCTTTTTGGAGTTCATGCGATTCCCTCAGTTTGTGTTTGTTACCTTGATTTGTCTTCTTAATCGATTTATGGGATATGCAAATTGGTGAACTACTGTTGACTAAATTTAAACCTGGTACCCATGATCACTCATTGCAAGTACGATTGAAGCGTCCTTATCATATCTCCATGTGTTTGTTGGTTATTTTTCATCGTTTTCGGTCAAAAATTCTTCTTTATAGTCACTCCATGGGTTGAAAGTGGTATATATAGAATATGACCATCGCTGGACTGTTCTTGTTCTGACAGTCACCCCTTTCGAAGAATGGACGTCCGTTTGGCTGTGCGGTATGTAAAACAAAACACATCCACGGACGTCAAATCCGTTGTCTCTTGAAGGAAGAGTTCCATTCCCAAACAAAGAACCCCTGTAGTAACTCTCCGAGAGTCCATACGTGACTTATTGCAAGGCCCAATTTCTGCTTATATCCAGCATACTGTGGCAGTCCAAATTGTCAGCCTTCTCTTCCGGTCGACCTACCTAACAAAACCCACATTTACATATTTAATGAATTGTTAATTTGTTTTCGTCCTGAATATCCACGAAAGAAATTTTTGCCACTGGACATTAAGCAAGTAACAATCATTCTATTTAAATTTGGAAATTTGATTCTGTGTGACGTAGGATTTAGTGTGCATTTCGTATCGTTAAAGGACCTTGATTGGTCATTTAACTTTTTATGCCCCACCTACGATAGGGCATTGTGTTTTTCGGTCTGTGCGTCCGTTCGTTCGTCCGTCCGTTCGTCCGTCCGTCTGTCCCGCTTCAGGTTAAAGTTTTTGGTCAAGGTAGTTTTTGATGAAGTTGAAGTCCAATCAACTTGAAACTTAGTACACATGTTCCCTATGATATGATCTTTCTAATTTTAATGCCAAATTAGAGTTTTGACCCCAATTTCACGGTCTACTGAACATAGAAAATGATAGTGCGAGTGGGGCATCCGTGTACTATGGACACATTCTTGTTTGTCCGATCATCACTGATTAGTCTTTTGTAGACAAACGCGCGTCAGGTGTACAAAAATATAAATCTAGTATCTTTGGTGAGATATTTTTCTTAACTTTTTCTTCAATGTTCCTGGTTCTTTTGAATGTTATTGTAGGTTTTTAATATTTCAGATTTTTTTAAATGTGGGTTGTGTTGCATTTTATTCGCATAAATAGTTTGTTAAATTACCTCGTTAGCGTGGTATTGTGGGATGAAAGAGATATTGTAGTTATTCTTATTTTCATTTTTAATGCCAGTTTTTTTTTTTTTTTTGTAATTTATTTAAACTTTATGTATGAGAAATATTTGTTAATATTTTCTCACAAATGTATCTGCTCTGTATTATTTTTTTTAAAAGAAATAAGTTCCTTCCGATATTGAACTGCTCATGATCTGACGTTGGTCTTATGGTACGTTTTTCTTCTTCCCGCATGAAGTCTTTGAAAAAAAACTTGATTTTTGGTGTAGTTTCTGAAATTTTTCAGTTGGTTTTGTAAAACATTTTATGTCCAAGATATTTTCGTTTTGAAATGTCTGTCCTTTAAAAGTTTCTTAATAGAAAATAAAAAAAAAAATTCTCTCAGTTTTAGAAGTAAATTGCAGAAGGTCATGATTTGTGATTGCTATTTCAAATATAAGTTTGATTTCTTCTTCACTGCATTGAAATAAGATTTATTCGTCACCTTTCGTACGTTAATGAAACAAAATTGAATTAAATTTAATAATGAAATATATTCCAAATCTATGTTGGTAGATGGTAATATCCAGATTTTAGGAGTAATTAGTTTAAAACAGTTTTTATCATATCGTATTCTAAATTTTCATATATTTCTGAAGAACTGTTAAAGTGTCTAGAAATTCACTAACTCTTATATTTGTGTAAAGGGAAAAAAGGACGAACTCTGAAGAGAGTTTCTACAATACTATTCCAAAAGAACTCGAAATATTGTACACGTAGCATGTTATCTAACAAGTTTTGGGATCAAGTGTTGCACAGTCTTTAGTTTTCTATGTTGTATTTTTGTACACTGTTGGTTTTTTTTATGGGATTTAGTTTTTATGCCATGGCTTTGTCAATTTGTGTTCGACTAACGAGTTTGAATATCCCTTTGGTATCTTTAGATTTTCTATGTAAGGTCGGAAATGTTATCAATACTAGGAAAGGGTGGATATTGGACTAATGTACTTTACAGCTCGGGTAGCTTTAAACCGATGAACCCTGTTCCAATAAACCTTACAGTTAAAACACTTGAAAAATTATTATGAAATCACTTTGTTGTATTAATTTTACACTAAACAGTTAAATGATCTGGTTTATTATATAACACTCGATATATCAAAAATTATGATCGATTTTCAAAAAGTCCTCCCGTACAACTGGACCATTACGTCCAGCAAATAAAGAAAAATCCTTATCGACAGAACGAATATCAAATGAATAATGGTTTCACCTCGTTGAAATGCAAATCTACGAACGAAACTACAGCCAATCTTTTTTTTTGTCGAGCCAGTGACATTTACATCGGCGTCGGCGGCGGTAATATTTAGGTCCAGTATGTGGTTAAAGTTTTTTAGACATCAATAACTTTGTTAAACCCTATTGGAATTTTATGAAATTTGAACAGAAGGTTGTGTATGACTAAAAGACAGTATCCAGAGCTTAATTTTTGAAAATATTCATTTTCATTTTCCGTATTTTACTAATAAACGGACTTAGTTTTTTTTACAGTTAACAAGGAGATACAGTCTGGGGTTCGAGTTTGTTACACATCAATTTCTTTGTCAAACATTCATAGAATTTTATGAAACTTTGGCAGAAGCTTTTTCAGATTAATAGTATGTCTGAAGCAAACTTTTGAAAATATATTTTTTTATTTTCAGTATTTTTCTGCTAGATGGACTTACTTTTTAACACTTAAAATTTACAGACAGTCTGGGATTATATTTATTTACCTGATAAATTTGTAAGCCTTCATAGATTTTTATTAAACTTGGACAGAAGCTGATCTTCAAGACCAAGAAATAGCATCTGAAGAAAAAGTTTGAAATTTTTATTTAAGATCTGTATTTTACTGATTATTAGACTCACTTTATAAGTCAACATTACACTTATACACTGACAGCAGAAATCGCAGGCGAGATACATGGTTCCGCGGAACCGCTTACGAATTTTCTTTATTAGTAACTTCCAAAAAATGAGAATTTTACAGAAAAATGATATATACTGATAATTAACAACACCTCTTCATATTGCATTCATTTATTAATTTCTATTTACCCTTAAACCCTTCAACAAAATCTATAAAAACATCCGGTTTCTTAGGAAAGTATATATTATTAACCCTTAAGATTTGTTCGTTCTTGACCCATTAAGTTATTTTTAATTTTGTGTCTCATGTTCTGATGATTTTATTTCATCTTCTGTTTCATATTATCTTTTGAACAAGGAGTTAACATGAACAACGATGAAAGGATTGTTTTCCTTCTGCTCATGATGTGGACTATGTTTATATATGATGCTAAAACTTTATCGTGCAATTATAGCTTCAACTTTAAAGAACAACTTATGGCCCATTGTGATAACAGAGGTTTTATATCTGTACCTAGGAATCTGAACAGAAACATCCAAGTGTTAGATCTCTCAAATAATTTGATCACTGTCATCGAAAACAACACATTAAAAAACTATACGAAAATGGACATTTTGATTTTAAACAGTAACAATATATCTGAGGTCCATGAATATGGTTTTGAAGGCTTACTTTCTTTAAAAATTCTGAGGATGGAAAATAATGTTATTAATATTTCTCAGCTTCCTTCAAGAGTGTTTCGTCCTCTTGACAAGTTGATGGTTCTTGAAATAGGCAGGAATGAACAGCAATCGGCTGTAAATGGATCGTTTGTTTATCCTGACAATGCGTTCTCTACCTTGAAAAGTTTACAAAATTTATCAATGGACTTGTTTGACAGCCCTGAGTTCGGTGATGGATTTAAGTCCCTCCAAAATCTAACCGTATTAAAATTTAGGAGGTGTTACTTGAGATTCGGCAAATTATCAAATGAAACTTTCAGAAATTTTCCTACGAAACTAAGAGAGTTATATATTACTCGTTGTCATCATTTCTTTCACATAGACAAAGGAATGCTTCAGTATTTTCCTGAATTGAAAATTTTGGACCTGTCTCGTTCATATATTCATCTGTACCAGGCACTGAATATACTTTATCCTTATCAAAACAAAAACATGTCTGTTATCAATTTTCACCATATAAGCGACAAAAGTATCAATAATGACAAATTTCCGTATTCTATAATAATTACAAAAGAACTAATGAGATATATAAGATCTATTTGCATAGAGGCTTTAGATTTGTCAGCAACAGGCATCGTAGATGATGAGTTTTATTCATTGTTTTCATTCCAGTACCCTAAGTGCTTCAAAACATTTATCATATCTGCTAACAGATTGCCGTCTACAACTTTAGAACACTATATGCAAACAATTGTTTTCATAACAAAAGCTACGAATCTTAAAACCTATGATATGTCTTATCTTCCTGGACAATTTCTTCAACCGTTATATCTTGATGTATATCATCCCGAAAAGTTCATTGAAAGTCAGGAAAAACAACATATTTTTCAGAAGTCTTTACATATAATCGTTAACTTACCACCCTTACTTGAATTTGTTCGCTTTACTCATATGACGGTAATGTCTGCTTCTGTATCATTCACATGCAAAAATGCATCGCTAAAATATTTTGATGTTTCATATAGTGTTTTTGAACAGTATCCAAATGTGTCACATGAATGTGGAAAAGAACTTAGATATTTAGATGTTTCCGGGTTATCTTCAACAATGATGTTCAAGTCCATTTCCTTACCGGAACTCATTACATTGAAAATGACTCATGCCAGCATTGACAGAAGTATAATTGAAGGAAAGCAATGGATGCTAGGGCACGCACCTAAACTGAAAAGTATAGATTTGTCTTTCAATAACCTATGGACTTTGTTAGACACGAAATTATTTAACGATAAGAATATAACGCACTTTAATTTGTCCAATAACCTTTTCAGGACAGTTCCTAGTAGTGTATCTAAACTCCGTCACATAGAATCGTTAGATCTGTCAAATAATTTGATAACGTCTATTGATTATACTATACGAAAATGGTTCGATGAAATTATCGTGCCAAATCAGAATTTTAGTTTAAATTTAGATAACAATGCTTTGATTTGTTCATGCGATACTGTTGAGTTTCTGTTATGGCTTACAAAAACAGAAGTATCATTTGTAAACGGAAACAATTACACTTGTACAATGTCAAACAATTCGCAAGTCAATCTTATTGAAGTCACCAAAAATATCAATAGGTATTTTGCTGACTGTAAAGCTACCTTGTGGCTTAGGATTGCAATAGTATTAGTTTCGTGTAGTTTTGGTGTTTCGATACCACTTTCAATTTTATATTATTATAGATGGAAACTTATTCTGTTTTCGTTTAGAAAATTCAGACGAGCCGTCGAGAGAGGGTTACATGTAAATTATGAATACGACGTATATATTTCCTACGAAGAAAGAAGCATATCATGGATAAAAAATCAACTCCTCCCAAAAGCTGAAAAAGAATGGGGACTGAAAACATTCGTACATGACCGTGACCTTATTCCTGGAGAACTCACGTCAGATTCTAAGGCACTTTCAATTCATAAAAGTAGACATATTATTTTTATTATTACGGAACGTTTTGGTGAATATGAGTGGGGAAAATTTGAAATCGAAAGAGCCAAATATGAGAAATACACACAAAATCTTATGAAAATTATAGTTATTTTACAACATGTGCACGTCAATGATATCCCAGAACAACTCGTGGACATATCAAATGATGTTATCTTTATTAATTGGTATGAACATGAAACTGAAATTTCTGAAAATCAGACTGCGTGGTTCAAACTAAAGACATTGCTTTTTCTAAATTAGAAAAATGGATTAAGAAAAAATATGAACAGTTTCATAGAAATCTGATGAACTATGTCAAATACATTTTATTTACCCTTTATATATGGTTATCTTTCTTTAATACAGTCGGTTAAATTAGATATACACTGAAATAAACATTTCATACGTTTTTTTGGAAGAGAGTTCAATAAAATGGGTACACTCAAAATTCGATTTGGAATATATAAGTCGCCGTACTTTTTCGGAGTAAACATGTGTTAATCTAAGAATTGAATGCTTCTTTTTGTAATTTTATTGTGGCAAAAAAAAGTTGATCGAAGCACATTTTGTTCATACTAAAAATGTGCGTACGATCAACAATTTTACCACCCCGTAAAATCACAAAAAAAGAAGCGTTCAATTTTGATTAGTACATGTTTATGCTACAACCGTGAAATAACGAGTTATAACACATTTATCGTTTGTTTTCCTATGTATTGTTGTGACATGTCAGGGGAAGCACGTGCTGTCAGGAATGTTAAATTTAATTAGGAAATAAAATCTAATTTTGGAATGCCTATCGATTGTTGTCAGCAAATTAAAAGTACGGATTCTTATGAAACATGCATGTAATGTAATTATACATTTATAAGAAAACAAAATTAAGTGAATGAAGCGAAAAAATATCAACAGGAGATTTATTTATCATAACTTTAGCAAATGTTTCAGTCCGCTTCTTAAATTTGTTTTTCAGAAAAATACGGCACTTGTTCTTTTTCCCTTTTGTTGCTTTACAAATTTACATTTAACATCTGATTGAGCTGCAGGTTTTATCTAATGTTAATATCTTAATGTGATTAAATTAAACATATTCAAACTTATCTCTAAGTGCCAAATACTATTTTCGTTAATTTAAAAATATCTCTATAATTTTGAAGTTTTTCTATAGTGTATATTTAAGAATAAGAAGACATATTTTAAGATATTTAATATTTAAGAGCATACAAATAAACTTTTTGATTTGTCAGAATTTTTGTACATATAATACCAACAAAAACAATGATCAAAATAATCAAGATGGCGGCGTCAACAGTTGCTAAGTTCATTAAGGGGTATCTATCTTAAGCGTAAACAATTGAACTTTTACCTTTAAAAACAAATGAATGAAACAGTGACATATTTTCATGCCAATGTTTTTTTAATTTCTAAATTTATAATCGGACAATTTTAGCAAGGTATGTTTTTAATCATGACAGTACCGAAGTACTACTGTGCGGATGATACCCTCCGGGACTGATAGTCTACCAACAGCGATATCAACCCAGTGCTGTAGAAAATGAAAAAATAAAAACACTATAAATTTCCTTGGTCCGAGGCGCTTTTCTGGATTTACCTTCATCAGGAACGCTCAAAGCCGAATATTTGAAAGCCAAGGATGTATAATAAGAACCGATACAGTTAAAGAGCTGTATGACCAAAAACATAAAAAGAACTTGAAATAATAGTCGAATCTATCTATGGTCAACTTTGCCTGAGGGAGTTAAAAAATGTTTTTTTAATTTCTAAATTTATACTCGGACAATTTTAGAAAGGTATGTTATAAATAATTTCTGTACCGACGTACTGACTACTGAGCTGATGATACCCTCGTTGATTGATAGTCCACCAGCAGTGGTATCGACCCAGTGATGTTAAACATTAGTTTAGTGAAATATGTAATCTCTTTTATAGTTATCAAACGTATGTTTGAAGTTTTGTCAATAACAACAGCAATGTCATATTATGGCTAAACGTATTTCGACTTCCTAATAAGTCAAAAGAAAATAACCGTGTATTGTATGTAAGTTTTATTTTTAAAGATACCGACATCCTTGTTTTCTGAGTAAAACAATAAATATCTTCATACTGTTAATTCGTTGTTGTCTTCTTGCTTGCAAAAGCATTTAAAATGGCTAAAAGATTGATGCATTTTATCTAATGAAATCCATACATACACCATAAATTTGAACTGCAAATTAAGACTATAGGAACTTACCGATGTTCAATCTCATAATTCATTAACCCTTTCCCTTTCAGGCATTTTAGACCTTTACTTATCGAAAAGACACTATCAAAGTTCAATTGAATACTGCATTCGCACCAATGGTCATGCACATGCCATGTTGGGCTCATATGAAAGATAATTATTGATCAAATATTTCAGAAAATTACGTTTAAAGATAATTCGTCCTTTTTTGGTCACGTGGGATGTTTCGAAAAGTCACGTGACTTTTGGAGAAAATGTGGAAAAATACGAAATACTTGGGACAAAAGTCGTGTAGAGACATATTGTTGCGCTAATGGGGTAAGGTTTTGGTGGAAACATATGGAACGCCACAGCTGTCTTATGTGGAACTCTGATATTACTTTATGTTGTTTTATTATTACTTGATGATATTTTGTCTTTACTTAATATGGTTTTGACATTACGTAATGATGTTTTGATATAACTCAATATGGAATAGTCATTACTTAATGATATTTCGATATTACACGATATGGTTTCGTATTGACTTGATATAGTTTTGTCATTACTCAATATGGTTTTGTCATTACTCGATGTGGTTTCATCATTATTTAATGTGGTTGTGTCATTAATCAATGTGGTTTTAGCATTACTTGATGTGAATGTGACTTTACGTTATGTAGTTGTTTCATTACATGATGTGGTTTTGTTATTTTGTAATGATGATTTGCCTATTCTTTATATGGTTTTAACATTACGTAATGATGTTTCAAAATTTGACGATTTTACACTACATGATGTGTTTGTTTCATTATTTGATGTGGTCCTGTCATTCTTTGATGTGGTTATCCCATTACTTGATGAGGTAAAATCACGTGACCAATTCGGAAAAAACCTGTTCTATTTTTAGATAGATTTCCATGTTGTATGTGCCTTGGATGAGTGTGGCCATCCATCGAATTAGAGTTCAAATTAAAGTTCGGGTTACTGCTTGAGTTAAACTTTGAGTCAGTCTTCGATTTCGAATTCAAGTCATTATTAGAATTAAAGTTTTAGTTAGCATTGAGTTTCGAGTTGGACTTCGAGTTTGAGTCACATTTAAAGGGAGAGTTCTAGTTACAACATTAAATTTGAGTCACTTTTTGAGGTAGAGTTTGAGTAAGATTCGAATTTAAGTCTCATTTAGATTAATTAAGATTTTGAGTTGAAATTCGAGCTATCTTATATGAGTTCGTAATTAAATTTTCTATCGCGGAACAAGGACTTTTGCTCGGGCTTCCGAAAAGAGGGCTCCGGGGTATGCGTACAAAAGATAAACAATGTTACAGTATACAAAACGCAACATAGAAGTTGAAATAAAGTTAGATGTGGTGTGATTGACAATGAGACAACTATCCACCAGAGTTTAAATGCAGTGGATGTTAGAAATCATATATAGGCAACCGTACAGCCTTCAACACACCGTATAGTCAGCTACAAAAGGCCACCATGCACCATGTGAAAAAATTCAAACGAAAAAAACAACCGGTCTTATTTATAAATAAACAATCTACAAAAAAAAATAACACACATTTATACAACGACAACAATTGAACTTCATGCTCCTGACTTGGGGCAGGTACATAAAGAAAGTGCACGCGGCGGAGTTTAACATGTATGTGAGCGCTAAATCCTAACCTTACATCGGACTGTTACAGTTGTGTAACAGCACAATACGAGAAAAAAGTGTAAACTAGACAAAGTGATGCCCCCGTACTCAACTCATTTAACCGCTTATACCCCAAAAATGACAAAAAAAAGTTCAATTATCTCCCAAAAGAGCAAAAGATAATAAAATAAAAACCCTGACCATATGCACACCTTCACTATATGTACAAACAGCCAGCAGAGTGAACACTTCTTAGCATTCAAACTGTAGGAGGAGTTATCTGGAAACGCTCTTCTTATGCAAGTTAAATTCCCAAAAAATTACACAGTTCAACTATCTCCCAAAAGAGCAAATATTAATAAACATTAAACCCTGACCACATGCACACCTTCAATATATGTACACCCAGACAGTAAAGAGAAAACTTCCTAGGATTCAAACTGTAGGAGGAGTTATGCGGAATAACTATATACCCATAATAGGACGGACAGACGGACGGACGGACGGACAGGGGTAAAACAATATGCCCCCCAACTTTCAGTTGCGGTGGCATACAAAACAGTTTCATTTGACTGATTCAATAGATCGGTATGACTGGCTAATATAAATCCATCGGGGTGATCTCGGATGCTCCAGAAAGGCACCCGTCGTGTTATTCAAGAAAGTACCAAACCCAGTGATTTGGTTTTATTTGGTAGTTTACATTCAAGGAAAAGATCACGGTATTATGGTTACGACCACTGGAACATGTCCGTCGTCACATGTGAAACAGATATTCCAAAAAGTTTATTTTTCAATTAGTGCGAGGTAGATCAGGGAATTCAATTGATTACAAATAACGGATGGATATTCGTATAAGTTCAAAATTTTTAATGATCATTTACGCTAAAAAAAAATTCGGAGAATTTTATTTTATACTATTGATGCTTTGTCGCTTAGTCCGAGCCCCCTCCCCCGTTTCCCTGTGAGTTTATTTGAAGTGTTTCATTTGTTAACAATAAAGTTGAAGTCTTTTGATTTGTGTCGAGCCTGCGACATCAATGTAGCGGCAGTGAGACACAACAAACCTATATTTCGTCGTCGATAGTGACGTCGGCGTCTCCATCTCCATTTTTTATTTCAATTGAGTTTAACCTTTCATCATACATGTTACTAAACATGTATGCCATCATAATTTTGTACTTTTAGAATATCATACTGTATTTGTTTACCTCGACTATTGTATCTGTATTTATATTGTATGTTTCTCTGTAAACTTGTATTTAGTTTTTAGAGAATAAAATATCTATCTATCTATCTATCTATAGATCGTTAGGTTTCTAGTTTTTTACATTTTTCATTCCGGGACCTTTTATAGCATACTATAGGGTATGGATTTTGCTCAATGTTGATAACTATACAGTTTTGTTTTAGTTAAATAAAACCGAATTAAACTGTTTTGACATGATAAATTTGTAAACCTCCATGAAGTGTTTTAAAACTTGTATAGGAGTTATTCCTCAATTTCAAGAAAAAGCATCTACAGAAAAACATTTTTTTTTTAATTTTGTTTTTACCGATAAATGTATAGATAAATGTACAGGCGATCAACATGACGCTTTTACACTTACAGCAGCAATATCAGGCGAGACACAGGGTTCCGTGGAATATTTTACAAATTTATTACAAAAATACTGCTTCCGTTTGAGAACTAAGAATAAAAACAACAGGACCAAGTGGTTTAGGGATATCCCAATTATGTCCGAAATACTGTAAACTTTTTAATACATTTTTTCTTATTATTGTCTGCCTTTCCCCTTTTTCATACCAAATAACTCTGGACAACCACTCGAACTTTAATTTGAACTTTAACTCAATGGATAGCGATACCCATCCAAAGCACATTAAACAAACGATATATTTAAATCTGTTTAAAAATAGAACATATTTTTTTCCGAATTGGTCACGTGGTTTTACCTCATCAAGTAATGGGATAACCACATCAAAGAATGATAGGACCACATCAAATAATGAAACAAACACATCATGTAGTGTAAAATCGTCAAATTTTGAAACATCATTGCGTAATGTTAAAACCATATAAAGAATAGGCAAATCATCATTACGAAATAACAAAACCACATCATGTAATGAAACAACTACATAACGTTAAGTCACATTCACATCAAGTAATATTAAAACCACATTGACTAATGACACAACCACATTAAATAATGGTGAAACCACATCGAGTAATGACAAAACTATATCAAGTCAATACGAAACCATATCGTGTTATATCGAAATATCATTAAGTAATGACTATTCCATATTGAGTTATATCAAAACATCATTACGTAATGTCAAAACCATATTAAGTAAAGACAAAATATAATCAAATAATAATAAAACAACATAAAGTAATATCAGAGTTCCACATAAGACAGCTGTGGCGTTCCATAGAAACACAATGCCCCAAGTCTGTTAAAGACATACAAGTTATCATATTGGTATTAAGAGAGGAAATACGTGCTATATGCCTTGAAATCTCGATGTCCGTAACATTCAAAATAACTGATTTCAGACGATCTTTTAGTCCAATTTCAAACTCGGACACTAGTTTTTTGTCTAAATCGATTTCAGTCAAGCAGTAACCCCAAATTTTGTTTTCCTAAGGGAAAATTCATTGAATTACTAATGATAACTTGATGTGGCGCACCCTGGAACGAACCCGAGGAAGTAAATTGGGGAAAAGGGGGGGCAATTTGGCACACACATTCTTTTAAAAACAAACATAAGTATTTCGTTGGTTTTTCTTTTTGAAATTGAAAGTTAAGTTAGGTTAAGTTACATTTAATTAAGGAAATAATTTTTCCACCTCCGGCAGTGAGAATCGAACGCGCGATCTTTCCGCCTTGGGTTTGTTCAGCATACCCCTGCACCACTGGCATCGTTAGAAATAACTGAAATTTAAGTACTTAAATCTACTACTCAAGACGAAAAAAAAAAACATATGAAGATCCTCACCCAGCTTGTTTTCTTTTAGAAATTATGTGTTCAGATAATATATTTTTGATGCCAAATGGCCAAATGCATGGTTTTTGCGCAAATATAGCAGGAATCCAGTTCTTAGTCTGTCTTGTTTCCCTTGACATATACATTTTCCTTCATTTAAACAAAAGTGTTTTCAACTTTATCATACCCAAACACTTACGAAACCATGTTTTGTTACATCTATTTCAACTTTGCTAAAAAAAATTCAGGACATTTCAGTGATTTT